AGGGCAAGATAACTTTGTTTTATTAATTAGCTATCGGACGTATCGGACTGGGATTTTAGAGACAATTAAAGAAAGGGTTAAACTTTTATTTCCGAGAAGTTTTACATTGATAGTTCATGTAATAAACGCGCTAGCAGGAGTTCACGTACGTGGAAAAAGAGCTTCGGACTCGCGCACGTGTGACTGAAATGTCGAGTAAAAAATATCGCGCGCGACTGGGAACAACGTTCACGCGCATGCGCGGCTCCTCCCGTATGCAGGCCGTTCAATGCCGTTAGCTTTTACTGCTGCTATCGCAAGATGTAAAACTTTCTGAAAATTAAAGTTTAAGCCTTTCTTTAATTGTCTCAAAATTCCGGTCCGATACGTAATTAATGTTATAAAAAAAGCTATTTTGGGATCAAAGAGGCGTAGGTGATTTCTCTTTTTTAAAATTACTGTAAAAATAAGCTCTATTTAATGCAAAAAGAGCGAAATCTCGAGTGGCTTTTGCCTGACCCAGGGACAACTTTTTGAAATTTTTTTTTTTCGATGGATTCCCCACAACCTCTGGGGATTCCGCGACTCGGCAAAAAATTCAAAATTTTGAAATTAACAATATCGATACTACAAAATTAAAAAAAATTATACTCTTAAAACTTTTTATTTTTATAATAATATATTAGTTACTATAAGAGCTTAATAAAATGTACGTAGCGATAAAAACTAAGTATTGCAATGCGAGAATTTGAAATGCGATTGCAACTTATGACAATAGCATCTGATTTTAACATATGTAAAAATATTCAAGCACATCCCGGTCATTGATTATACAATTTACTATTTTTTTAATTATCCAATAAGTATTTACTTTAAAATTTAAAAACCTAGTTTAATTTTTACTTAGTAGAATGTTAATTTTTTAATTGTAGTATTTATAAGTATATAATTAGTAAAAAATGTGTTCCAAAATTTTTTTAGGAGTCGTAAAAGTTTGAAGACCGCTGATCTAGAGCAATATGCTCTTGGTTATTTCTAAAAGCAGAAATGGCCTGGTGATTTCTTTATTAAAATATTTTCTAAAAATTATTTTGTATAAAAATATGTTATTGATATTGGCTAGAACCCTTGGTATTCTGAATTTAACGAAAGTTCAATCTTTATTTGTTGTTTTTGTCTTTTTTTTTCTAATTTTTTCGAGGAGAAAAAGTTCATTGTTTGACAATTTTTTTTTTATTTTGGACCGTTACATATTGCACAGTAAATGGAAGACACTATTTATCGAACAGTTACCGAAATGCCTCACTCCAGCACCCCATCCTTAACTTGAGGCTTTCTTTTCATCACTTCCATTTTTCTCCGAGCCTATCCGTCATTTACAGATTGAAGGTAGTGACGTCAAGTGAGACCTTACTAGCTGCAATCAATGTGCTCTGTATACTTTTTTTTTAAATGTAATTTAACTGCAGGTCCGCGTGAACGTAATCAACTTGGCAAGCCCCCAACTCCAAGACCTCTACAATTGGCTCGAGGTGGAGTTCCACCCTCTCCTGCTCTGCAACCGCGTGCACGATGTGATCGTGTCGCTTCAATCCGAAGAGAACTCCCCGCTCCAACAGTACATCCCCGCCTTGCAGGACGTCACCCTCGTCCGACTCGTGCGACAGATCGCTCAGGTGTACCAGACCATCGAGTTCGCCAAACTCTTACAACTCGCCAAATTCACGACGGCCTTTCACCTGGAGAGGCTCCTGGTGGACTGCGTACGTCACAACGACATGCAGATTCGCATCGATCACGGCAAGCAGTGCATCCACTTCGGAATGGACTTGAGCGAGAGCCAGCGTGAGGATAAACCCGAGGGGCCCACCCTGCAGGTCATGCCGAGCGAGCAGGTCAGAAACCAGCTCGTTAATATGTCCACTGTTCTGAACCAGGCCATCCAGGTCATTAATCCCAACAAGAAGAAGGTAAGCTTTGCTCAAATTGTTTAGTTTTTAATGTTTGTCAGTGCTTGTCATAAGCGTATAAGTGGAAATAAGAGGCAGGAAGAGGTCAAGAAAATATTGAATTAAAAATGTTTCTTAGTAAAATACGTTTTACCTACCTTTTATTATTTTATTTAAATTTAGCAGTAAGTATATGTTTGAATAAATGTGAAATATTTATAAATAGTCCAACCAAATTATACTTGAAGAAAAAAAATTGTTACCTAGACTTTTATAAATGAAAATGGTAAAAGGGCTTATAATAACCCTAAAAAAAAATTAATGCGTGAGCATGCGCGGCAGAGGGTTGATTTGGAGGTTTGGAGGGAAAGTTATGAATAATTGTATCATTGAGATTTCTGGTGAAAGTTGACGTCAAACAAAAAAGTGTCCACTACAAAAGTTGTAGATCATGCAAAAATCTACAAGTTTTGTAGAGGTCACTTTTTAATATAACCTCAAAATTTCCGAGAAAATGCGAAAAACAGTTTATTTTCAGATTTTTCGTTTTTTATTTCTCATTTCCGCAAAAATAATTTAATTTTAACAAAACTTGGTAAAAGTATACATTTCTGTGTATTAAATAACCCCAAATTTTTTTAGATAAAAAAATCAAGAAATTTCCGAGATATTAATTTTTTTCAGCATGAAAGAAAAATTCTAATTAGAAAAATCATACAAAGTTCTACCGGTAACCATTTTTTCGTTTTGACATTTTTTGGCGAAATAAAAAAATCTGTAATCACAGTTCAAAAACATGCTCAAAAATGCAAAAAAATTAAAAAATGACGCAACAATGAATTTTTCAGTAATTGTTGATATGTTTAAATTAAAAAACATTCAAAAACTGATTACACCATTCAATTATATGGAAAAATATAAAAATAAAACTGTCTCATTGTTTAACCCAAAACTTTATTTTTGTACAGTATTGCTATAAACATCTAAGTCGAATTACAAATGCACAAATGATAAATTATCTGGATGATTTGAGAATTCAGCAATACAAAGTATTAACTGCAAAGTCTACTGGTGACGCGAAATCCGAAAACCCGAAATTTTACAAAATCGTTTTAATTTTTTTCTAGCTTTATTTGAAAACGAATTTTAAAATAAATTGCATATATACATTGCCACTTTTTTCGCTCTATCCAATGGCGCCAACATTTTTGTAATCCGACGTTTCATTTTTAATTCTGAATTAGATGATATTGCTATTGTAATCGCTTAAAAAGGTTTTTAGCTTTGATTTAAAATTTTTCCTGAGTATGGCACTGAACGCTTTCAAAATATCTATTGAAAGAAGTAATAAATAAATAGCAGTATGTCAGTACAGCTCAAAATATCCAACAATTTTTTTTAATCAATAATTTAAAAAGTTATACCTATTAAAAAAATAATACAAATTTATGAANTGATAGTTCATGTAATAAACGCGCTAGCAGGAGTTCACGTACGTGGAAAAAGAGCTTCGGACTCGCGCACGTGTGACTGAAATGTCGAGTAAAAAATATCGCGCGCGACTGGGAACAACGTTCACGCGCATGCGCGGCTCCTCCCGTATGCAGGCCGTTCAATGCCGTTAGCTTTTACTGCTGCTATCGCAAGATGTAAAACTTTCTGAAAATTAAAGTTTAAGCCTTTCTTTAATTGTCTCAAAATTCCGGTCCGATACGTAATTAATGTTATAAAAAAAAGCTATTTTGGGATCAAAGAGGCGTAGGTGATTTCTCTTTTTTTAAAATTACCGTAAAAATAAGCTCTATTTAATGCAAAAAGAGCGAAATCTCGAGTGGCTTTTGCCTGACCCAGGGACAACTTTTTGAAATTTTTTTTTTTCGATGGATTCCCCACAACCTCTGGGGATTCCGCGACTCGGCAAAAAATTCAAAATTTTGAAATTAACAATATCGATACTACAAAATTAAAAAAAATTATACTCTTAAAACTTTTTATTTTTATAATAATATATTAGTTACTATAAGAGCTTAATAAAATGTACGTAGCGATAAAAACTAAGTATTGCAATGCGAGAATTTGAAATGCGATTGCAACTTATGACAATAGCATCTGATTTTAACATATGTAAAAATATTCAAGCACATCCCGGTCATTGATTATACAATTTACTATTTTTTTAATTATCCAATAAGTATTTACTTTAAAATTTAAAAACCTAGTTTAATTTTTACTTAGTAGAATGTTAATTTTTTAATTGTAGTATTTATAAGTATATAATTAGTAAAAAATGTGTTCCAAAATTTTTTTAGGAGTCGTAAAAGTTTGAAGACCGCTGATCTAGAGCAATATGCTCTTGGTTATTTCTAAAAGCAGAAATGGCCTGGCGATTTCTTTTATTAAAATATTTTCTAAAAATTATTTTGTATAAAAATATGTTATTGATATTGGCTAGAACCCTTGGTATTCTGAATTTAACGAAAGTTCAATCTTTATTTGTTGTTTTTGTCTTTTTTTTTCTAATTTTTTCGAGGAGAAAAAGTTCATTGTTTGACAATTTTTTTTTTATTTTGGACCGTTACATATTGCACAGTAAATGGAAGACACTATTTATCGAACAGTTACCGAAATGCCTCACTCCAGCACCCCATCCTTAACTTGAGGCTTTCTTTTCATCACTTCCATTTTTCTCCGAGCCTATCCGTCATTTACAGATTGAAGGTAGTGACGTCAAGTGAGACCTTACTAGCTGCAATCAATGTGCTCTTTATACTTTTTTTAAATGTAATTTAACTGCAGGTCCGCGTGAACGTAATCAACTTGGCAAGCCCCCAACTCCAAGACCTCTACAATTGGCTCGAGGTGGAGTTCCACCCTCTCCTGCTCTGCAACCGCGTGCACGATGTGATCGTGTCGCTGCAATCAGAAGAGAACTCCCCACTCCAACAGTACATCCCCGCCTTGCAAGACGTCACCCTCGTCCGACTCGTGCGGCAGATCGCTCAGGTGTACCAGACCATCGAGTTCGCCAAACTCTTGCAACTCGCCAAATTCACGACGGCCTTCCATCTGGAGAGACTCCTGGTCGATTGCGTCCGTCATAACGACATGCAGATTCGCATCGATCACGGCAAGCAGTGCATCCACTTCGGAATGGACCTGAGCGAGAGCCAGCGCGAGGATAAACCCGAGGGGCCCACCCTGCAGGTCATGCCGAGCGAGCAGGTCAGAAACCAGCTCGTTAATATGTCCACTGTTCTGAACCAGGCCATCCAGGTCATTAATCCCAACAAGAAGAAGGTAAGCTTTGCTCAAATTGTTTAGTTTCGTCAGAATTAAATTATTTTTGTGGAAATGAGAAATAAAAAACGAAAAATCTGAAAAAAAAACTTTTTCGCATTTTTCTCGCAAATTTTGAGGTTATGTTAAAAAGTGACCTCTACAAAAGTTCTAGATTTTTGCATGATCTACAACTATTGTATTAGATACTTTTTTGTTTGACGTCAACTTTTGCGAGAAATCCCAATGATACAATTTTTCACAACTTTTCAACCCCCAAATCAACTCTCTGCTGCCCCTGCTCATGCATTTATTGTTTTTTTGTTTATTATTAGCCCCTTTATCATTTCCGCTTATAAAAGTCCAGGTAACAATTTTCTTTTTTTTCCCTCTGAGTTATTTCGATCGGTCTATAAACCTATTCGATTCACAAAAATGTTGAAATATTTTAAAATAAAGAAAAATATTTTTTATATTGAAAACTCATTCTTAAACATTCTCGTGACAATTGTTAATATAAATAGACTTATTTATTGTTGTTTCTTCAACGAATTTTTGACTTTAATTAACTAAAAATTATTAGCAATCTCCTAAAGTCGTGACATAGACCTAGAAAACGCCCCGTTTACTAATACGGCCCCTTTTTTTAGGTGGAAAGGGAGAAGTTAAGAGTTTCCATGGTGCAGAATTACCACGAAACTAAAGTGAGAGAGCACCAGAAGATCCTGCAACGTCACAAGATCATCGAGGACAGGAAGGAGTACATCGAAAGATTGAACACGGTTCGCGAGGAAGAGGAACAGAAGAGGTAAGTGTGTCGTTTTCCTTTTAGGAGTGCGTTATATGATTATTTTCTTATAGATTGGAGGAGATGCAGAGACAGCACGTTCTCGCAGAGCAGAAACGTTTGGAGCAAGAGAGGGAGGAGAGAGAGCGCAAGCGCGCCTTGAACGAAATCCAACAGATCAAGGACAGGCACCGGAAAGAAAAGTTGCAGCAGATCAGCCANGGATGATTTGAGAATTCAGCAATACAAAGTATTAACTGCAAAGTCTACTGGTGACGCGAAATCCGAAAACCCGAAATTTTACAAAATCGTTTTAATTTTTTTCTAGCTTTATTTGAAAACGAATTTTAAAATAAATTGCATATATACATTGCCACTTTTTTCGCTCTATCCAATGGCGCCAACATTTTTGTAATCCGACGTTTCATTTTTAATTCTGAATTAGATGATATTGCTATTGTAATCGCTTAAAAAGGTTTTTAGCTTTGATTTAAAATTTTTCCTGAGTATGGCACTGAACGCTTTCAAAATATCTATTGAAAGAAGTAATAAATAAATAGCAGTATGTCAGTACAGCTCAAAATATCCAACAATTTTTTTTAATCAATAATTTAAAAAGTTATACCTATTAAAAAAATAATACAAATTTATGAAATATTTTATGCGGTATTGACTTTTATATTGTTATGACTTCATCCAATAGATATTTTAAAAGTGTTCCAGAGCCATACTCAGGAAAAAAGGACGAAACGTCGGATTGCAAAAATGTTGCCGCCATTGTGTAGAGCGAAAAAAGTGGCATTGTAAATATGTAATTTATTTTAAAATTAGATCAAATCCAAAAAAGAAATAAACAATTTCGCAAAATTTCGGGTTTTTCCGGATATCTCTGGAACAACCCAGAATTTTAAAACTTTCTAAATGGCATATTGTTAGGTTTAAAAAAACACAACTTTTTTCTAATCTGAGCCACCCCGTATCTCTTACCGTTTCCTAGATCCTAATGCTATCCTATCCTTATCTTGGACACACTGTATATCTATGAATTCATCAAAATTTAAAAAAAAATAAGTTCACTAATCGATCCTACGGAAAAAAATTATTATTTATTTATTCACTATTCGACTTATGTTTACAGCAATACTGTACAAAAATGAAGTTTTTTTTGGGTCAAACAATGAGAGTTTTTTTTTGTACTTTTTCGGTACAATTGAATGGTGTAATCAGAATTTGATTTTTTTTTAATTTAAACAAATTATCAACAATTACTGCAAAATTAGTTGTTGCAAGTCATTTTTTAATTTTTTTTGCATTTTTGAGCATGTTTTTGAACTATGTTTACAGATTTTTTTATTTCACCAAAAAGAACGTCAAAAAGAAAAAACTTATCACCGGCAGAACTCTGTACGATGATTTTTCTAAGTAGAATTTTTATTTGAAGAAAAAGTGTTTCAGACTGGAAAAAATGAATATCTCGGAAACTTCTTAATTTTTTTATTTAAAAAAATTTGTGGTTATATTCAGAGGTATACTTTCACCAAGTTTCGTCAGAGTTAAATTATTTTTGCGGAAATGAGAAATAAACGAAAAATCAGAAAAAAAACTGATTTTCGCATTTTTCTCGGAAATTTTGAGGTTATGTTATAACTTTTCAACCCCCCCAAATCAACCCTCGGCCACCCCTACTCACGCATTTATTGTTTTTTCGATTATTATAAACCCTTTTACCGTTTCCACTTATAAAAGTCCAGGTAACAATTTTCTTTTTTTTCCCCTCTAAATGAGTTATTTCGATCGGTCTATAAAACTATTCGATTCACAGAGATGTAGACATTTTTTAAAATAAAGAAAAATATTTTTTTGAAAACAATTGAAAATTCTCATTCTTAAAAATTCTCATGACAATTGTTAATATAAATAGACTTATTTATTTTTGTTCCTTTTTTGACTTTAATTAACTAAATTATTAGCATCCTCCTAAAATCGTGACATAGACCTAGAAAACGCCCCGTTTACTAATACGGCCCCTTTTTTTAGGTGGAAAGGGAGAAGTTAAGAGTTTCCATGGTGCAGAATTACCACGAAACTAAAGTGAGNGGCCTTCCATCTGGAGAGACTCCTGGTCGATTGCGTCCGTCATAACGACATGCAGATTCGCATCGATCACGGCAAGCAGTGCATCCACTTCGGAATGGACCTGAGCGAGAGCCAGCGCGAGGATAAACCCGAGGGGCCCACCCTGCAGGTCATGCCGAGCGAGCAGGTCAGAAACCAGCTCGTTAATATGTCCACTGTTCTGAACCAGGCCATCCAGGTCATTAATCCCAACAAGAAGAAGGTAAGCTTTGCTCAAATTGTTTAGTTTCGTCAGAATTAAATTATTTTTGTGGAAATGAGAAATAAAAAACGAAAAATCTGAAAAAAAAACTTTTTCGCATTTTTCTCGCAAATTTTGAGGTTATGTTAAAAAGTGACCTCTACAAAAGTTCTAGATTTTTGCATGATCTACAACTATTGTATTAGATACTTTTTTGTTTGACGTCAACTTTTGCGAGAAATCCCAATGATACAATTTTTCACAACTTTTCAACCCCCAAATCAACTCTCTGCTGCCCCTGCTCATGCATTTATTGTTTTTTTGTTTATTATTAGCCCCTTTATCATTTCCGCTTATAAAAGTCCAGGTAACAATTTTCTTTTTTTTCCCTCTGAGTTATTTCGATCGGTCTATAAACCTATTCGATTCACAAAAATGTTGAAATATTTTAAAATAAAGAAAAATATTTTTTATATTGAAAACTCATTCTTAAACATTCTCGTGACAATTGTTAATATAAATAGACTTATTTATTTTTGTTCCTTTTTTGACTTTAATTAACTAAATTATTAGCATCCTCCTAAAATCGTGACATAGACCTAGAAAACGCCCCGTTCACTAATACGGCTCCTTTTCTTAGGTGGAAAGGGAGAAGTTAAGAGTTTCCATGGTGCAGAATTACCACGAAACTAAAGTGAGAGAGCACCAGAAGATCCTGCAACGTCACAAGATCATCGAGGACAGGAAGGAGTACATCGAAAGATTGAACACGGTTCGCGAGGAAGAGGAACAGAAGAGGTAAGTGTGTCGTTTTCCTTTTAGGAGTGCGTTATATGATTATTTTCTTATAGATTGGAGGAGATGCAGAGACAGCACGTTCTCGCAGAGCAGAAACGTTTGGAGCAAGAGAGGGAGGAGAGAGAGCGCAAGCGCGCCTTGAACGAAATCCAACAGATCAAGGACAGGCACCGGAAAGAAAAGTTGCAGCAGATCAGCCAGACGGAGCACGGGCAGAAGATCCTGAAGAAACTCGACGAAGATGTAAGTGTTATTACATAAAATTTTTATTGCTTTGTATTGGCGCATTTAACGGTCGTTTCGTTATTTTTAAGTCACATTTGCAATGCGATACCGCCTCAGAATTTAGGAAACTCGGTTTTGTTGTCCCTCATTCGCAAATCCTAATGTAAAACAAGTTTAAATATTCTAGCTCCGTTTGTGGTTTCAGCACAATCCTTGATAGTTATCAAATTAGATTTTTACGTGCCAAAATTTAGTTCAGCAAACAACGACACATAAACATTAGGAAAAATTCCATAGAGTTGAATGAACTACTTTACCCCAAATAAATGTTAATGCTTCATTTTCAAAATGCCGTCCAAAATTCGTAAAAAAACAACCTTTTTCATTTAAAATGAAATTGCGTATTGCTGAAGTTTTTCGAAAACTAACCGTAGGTGTTTGAAGTGCTGTTGTTCGTCTTCTGATGCGACAAGGATATTGTCTAAATATGCGTAACAAAAGTCCAGTCATCGCAAAACAAAGTATGAACTATTGGAATGTTTGTGCTGCGGTACGCAACCCGAATGGCATCGCGTTAAATTCGAAGAGATCAAAAGGTGTCGCTGCCTACACTAACCATTTTATAAAAAAATATTTTAGACAAAAGTTGAGTTGATTAACAAATGTATTAGTTATTACAAAAAACCGCTAAAAATCGCATTTTTTTTAAAACTTCCATGTCTTTAAAACGGAAAATGATTTTTTACTAGACTCAGAATATCTACTCCTTGGCAAGTAGAATAAGTGCATTTTTGTAAAATTGCAAATTATTTGGTAGTTTTTGAAAAAAATTGAGTTTTTCGAAAAATAGACATTTTTTTCCAGTTTCAATAAATCTTACAGTATTGCACTTACGTGACCCATCTTACGCTTAAAATTTTCTCTATAAGTTGTACTTTTCTCTCTAAATTGTGTGTATTGTAAAATAAATGGAAATACATATAGGAAAAATCTACCGAAACTTTGACTTCTTTTTTCGGGTCGAAAAATGTAGATCTTTTTCTTATCGTTGAAATTTAATCGACATGGCATTATTGCAATTTAAGAGCTGATATTTTTTCACGAATTAAAAAAAAGATGTCCTACGACCAATAGGAACGAGATTTTTTTTTTTTTTCAGAAAATCACCAGGACCTCATTTTTAATATTGAGGTCTGAAATTTACACATGTTGTAGTCAAATACATTTACTTCAATATAAAAAATGGTCGGCAATGATTGACCCCCTTTTTTTTACAGTAAACTTAATTTTGTTGGGCCCTAAAATCCTTGCTCCACTCGACACGTTGATGTGCGGTGGGGGGAGAAAGACTGACGCGACTGTTGTATTTGTCGATCATAATGAACTTAGCTGAGTCACAGTCTTTCTCCCCCCAGCACCCGCATCGTGTCTAGCCGAGCAAGGATTTTATGGGGGCCTAACAAAATTAAGTTTACTGTAAAAAAAATGGGGTCAATCATTGCGGACAATTTTTTTATATTGAAGTAAAAGTATTCAACTACAGCATGTGTAAATTTCAGACATTAACATTAATAAATGAAGTTATAGCAATTTTTTGAAAAAATAAAATTCTCGGCTCCTGTTGATCGTAGGACATTTTTTTTTAAATTTGTGAAAAAATGTTAGCGTTCAAATGGCAATAATGCCATTCCGATTAAATTGCATTACTGTGTGATTTATTGAAACTTGAAAAAAATTTATTTTTTTCGAAAAACTCAATTTTTGCAAAAACTACCAAATAATTTGCAATTTTACAAAAATGCTCTTATTCTACTGGCCAAGGACTACATATTCTGAAAGTTTCGTAAAAAAAATATTTTTTTTCGTTTTAAAGATACAGAAGTTTAAAAAAAAAATTATATTTTTAGCCATTTTTTTACAATGACTAGTACATTTGTTTATCAATTGACTTCAGGCTGAGCTCAAAGTTTTTGTTATATAAAGTTTTACAACTTCTGTCTAAAACATTTTTTACTTTTTTTTAAATGAAAATTTATTGCAAATTTTGGATGCATTTTGAAAATTCAGCTGGGATAAAGTAGTTCATTCAATTCTACGCAATTTTTCCTAATTTTTACTTGTTTTTGTTTACTGAAATAAATTTTGGCAAAAAAAAACGAGGTATTTTTGACAATTTGACTGTCCTATAAGATACTTGAGAACAGTTATGCAAATTTCTCTAAAACGTTTGACAGAGTCAATCACAGAATGCTATTATTCAATTTGACATATCGTAAACAAGTAGTTCAAATGAACAACTTTCTATTAAATGAAATTTCTTTTCTTTCTGGTGTTCCACAAGGGTCCCACTTAGGTCCCTCATTATTTAACTTATTCATCAATGATTTTAATCAGTTTGAATCTGAGGCATTCTCTTTAATTTGGAAATTGATCCACATGAAAATGTTCTCAGTAACTGTTGTAAATTGGACAATTTTTGGAAAAAAGAAAACTGTAAGTTCATTTTGTAGAACAAAAGTTATCTCTTAAAATTTATTTTAGGTAATTGGTGCATTGTAACTATTTTCATCTCATGTTGTACTGGTTTGTTAATACGGAAATAAGAAATGACTCATTTTTTTTAATTTAGTATAATGAGTGTTTCGTTAAAAAAATCAAGTACCGTTTTAACTGCTGTAACTTATTGTGAAAAAGTTATAAAGTATATGAGACGTAAAATTAATTTTAAAAAAATTGTAATGATTTTGTTGTTCAAAAAAAAAATCTTTTGGGTTCAAATGTTTGGAAAATCGGTGATTTTTTAGAAATTGTTTATAATGTAAAAGACTGAAATTCCTGTCATCATGCGGTTTAGAATTAAGGTGACAATATTTTACCATCCGTTCATATCTTTCAGGTCATTAAAAAGTTGGATGCCGACCAGATCGCCGCCAAAGAGGCGGAGGAGCTTCAAAAGGAACGCAGGGAACTCCAGGCCAAGCTTAAATCTCAAGAGAAGAAAGTCGATTACTTCGAGCGTGCCAAGAGACTGGAAGAGATCCCTCTGCTCCAGGCGAACATGAAGGAGCGTCAGCTGCAAGACCAGAACTTCTGGGAGCAGCAGGAGAAGGAACGCATAGCGGCGGCCATCGAAGAACGCAAACTGGCCGTCGCCACCAGGGACCGTCTGGCCAGGATGAAGCCCGACAAAGACGAGTTCCTCACCAAACTGAAGAAGGAGAGGAACATCGTGTACGAGGACAAGCTGAAGGAGTTCGAGAAACTCCTGGCCGAGGAGAGGAAGAAGAGGCTGCAGGAACGCAAGGCCAAACGCAAGGAAGAAAGACGAACCAAGTGGCTCAAAGAGAAGGAGGAGGAAGCGGAACGTAAGGCGGCGGAGCTGCGTCGCCGCGAAGAGGAGGAACGTCAGCGTGCCGAGGAGGCTGCCAGGAAGGAACGCGAGGAGAAAGAGAGGATCGAACGGGAGGAACGCGAGAAGAAGATGAAGGAGCAGCAGGAAATGTTGGATAGGGTGGCCGCCAGGCAGAGGCAGCGCGAGGAAGAAATCGAGAGGAAGCTGCAGGAGGAGAAGGAGAGCAGGGATAAGGTGAAGGAATCGTCTTGGCGGAGGGGCGAATTAGGCGGAGGCGGCGGCGGTGGCGGAGGCGGAGGCAATTTCTGGAGGGGCGGCGACAAGTCCGAGGAGGCTCCCAAGAAAACTGAGGCTTGGAGACCAGGTTAGTACAATTTTTTTGTTGAAAAAAGTTGGTTCGCACTTCATTAATAATTTTAAAAATAATTTATAGTTTAACGTTGAAGAATACTTCTAATTTTAACTTTTATTAAAATCGGTAAAATGTGATGTAAAATTATAGCGGATGTCCCATCAAAAAAAATTTTTAGATTCTAGGATATCAATAAACGAACTTGGTGATGACCTTGGATTTGACTTTTACTCTAAGTTTCAAGGTTAAATCAAGATTAATTCGATAATATTTAATGGTACACTCTCTTTTTATACCAGCTATCAATAGCCAAATTTTACGTCCGAATGTAGGGTTAGAAAACCTTCCCCACATGACCCTGTGCAGATCATTTGGAAGGGAAACTAATTTTTCTCTAAATACATATAAGATTGATTTGTGGAGGAAAACGATTCAAGCAAAATTTGTAGGACTTTGAATGACAAATGTAATTGTCCTTGGATGTGACCTTCATTAGAAGTTGCAAGGTCAAACTAAGGTCAACTGAATATCGAATAGAATACACTATTTTTTATACCAACAACCGATACAGCTTGTGATCGGGTGTTCAATGTGATATATTCTAGTTGACCTTGGTCTGACATTGAGAATTGAGGCGAAGGTGAAATCCAAGGTCGCCATTGAATTTTTCATTCAAAATCGTACAAATTTTACTTGAAACATTTTTCTCCACAATTAGATTTTGTCGAATTAAGAGAAAAATGAGTTTGAACTCCAAATATCCTGCAAGGACATGCCCAAAAAATGTTCTGACACCCATATTTTAACAAAATATGGCCTTCTATCCATTGCTGGTATAAAAAAAGGTGTTGCATTTAATATTTCCAAATTGACCTTGGTTTGACCTTGAAACTTAACATCAAATTTTTCAGTTGTACAAATTTTACTTGAAACATTTTTCTCCACAATTCGATCCTGTCAAGTTCAGAGAAAAATAAGTTTGACCTCCAAATATCCTGCAAGGACGTGCCCAAAAAATTTTCTGATGCCCATATTTGAACAAAATATGGTGTTCTATCCATTGCTGGTATAAAAAAAGGTGTCGCATTTGATACTTCCAAATTGACCTTGGTTTGACCTTGAAACTTAACATCAATGTCAAATCCAAGGTCACCAGCATACTTGTTGATGTTGATATCAATATAATGTTAAGACAACGCGAAACTCACGCCTTTTGTCAATTTCTGATCAGCTCGCTTCCGAGGCAACCCCGACGACCCCCCCGCCAGAGGCGGCGACAGTTGGAGAACCATGGAAGACAAGAAGGAGGACCGGAGGGAGGATAAACGTGACGACAGAAGGGAAGAACGTCGCGATGCGGGAAAAGACGAACGCCGCGATGACAGAAGAGACGATCGACGCGACGACAGAAGGGAGGACCGTCGCGAAGATAGGAGAGATGACCGCCGCGACGACAGGAGAGAGGATCGCCGTGAGATCTCTCGCGGCGGCTTCGACAGAGGCGAACGAGACCGCGACAGGTTCGCCGATAGAGAAGGAGGAGCCCGTTTCTCTCGAGACGACAGGGAGCGCAGAGGTGGAGAAGATAGAGATCGTAGAGATGACAGGGACCGCAGAGACGATAGGGATAGAAGAGGAGGGGACGATGGAGGTAGTTCGTGGCGTTCCCTTAGGAAGACGGAGGATGACGGACCGGCCCGCAGGCCGCCTATGCCGAGAGGCGGTAGGGATGGAGGTTCGGACGCGTGGAGGTCTGGTAAAGAGGGCGGTAGGAGGGAGGAACCCTTAAGGAGAGGGGGTGATGACAGGAAAGATGAGAGGAGAGGACCACCGCCGCCAAGGGAGAAACGTAAGTGCTTTTTGTGTAAATACTCAGTTTAATTAAGTTTTTAAATATTGTTCTTTTTAAAATCAATGGGAATGTCGGGGATGGTGTTAAAATAGAAATTATTTTATTTACTTGCAATTGTGGAACGTAAACAACGAAACCTTGAAATTCGTCATGAGTTTCTTCCTGTGAAAAATTGAGTCTTCATTTGTATGAAAAATATTCGTTTTACTACGATTTTAGGCATGTTGTCAATGGTTCCATCTGTCGTGCTGACTTCCAACTGTGCCATTCAAATGGCTGCAGTATGAAGTGACCTTCTATATTGCAGGTACTTGTTGCACGACTGCCACCCACAGAGGGCGAAGATAATGTTTTAATTGTCAGTGTTGCGAGAAACAACTACTCAGAGGGCTATATGCCCCTGCCGGCATTAAACTGACGGACAATTCTAGCTGTTGCACTAGGTGTTGCGGGTAGAATTCGATGCCGGTAGGCGCAACACTGACAATTAACACATGGTCTTCGCCCTCTGTGGGTGGCAGTCGTGCAATAAGTACCTGCAATATAGCAGGTCGCTTCATACTGTAGCCATTTGAATGGCACAGTTGGGTGTCAGCACAGCTGATGGAGCCATTTACGCTCCCGTGTACATTGTATTTCCTTGTCGTGATGATACGACGCAAAACAGCTGGATCGTTCGTCGGTTGTCTCACCTATGGCACACTGATGAGGACTAATAAGTCCGAAACCGGTCTGTGTCTGGTGCGTTAAACTGACGAACGATCCTAGCTGTTGCACTAGGTGTTGCGAGTATAATTCAATGCCGGTAGGGGCATATAGCCCTCGGAGTAGTTGTTTCTCGCAACACTGACAATTAAAAAAAAAATTTTGTTATGTGCGTTAAATTGAAAATAGAAAATGAAGCAAATAGACTTCACTGAGAGGCTGTTCGAAAATAAAAAGCAAATTACAGATCATTATTGCTTTTTTTCCATTTTAACGAGAAACCATATACACGTGCAATACAACTGGCTGAAAAATAAAAACTAACCTCAGAAATTTAGTATGGCTTCCTTTGACAGATGGCATACACAACGGTAATGTCAACTTCCCTCAGCAACGCCATCTCTCTTTAAAGACGGGTACTTATCGATCGCCCCTTGTAGGATAGAGGCGGAACTGGCTCGTAAATAAAGCCTTTGTGGTGGCAAATTTACTTTTAACGATTGTGTGTGGGGACAATTTTTAAAATATAAGAATTCAAAATAAAAGATCCATCGGACATACCGTTAGCATGACTCCGAAGGGCCGTTATGGTCACACGAACTTGCAATTGAATAAAGTATGTTTCCAAACAGGTTTACAGTATCATGGTTTTTCAGTTTATGACAGTTTCAGACTTACATTGCCCTTAGACACATGTTAATGGTATGCCTATGGTGTTCCGATGGATTTTTTTTATTATTTTGAATTTCAGTTTAAAAAACGTGGCGTCCTTACTAAAATCGTAATAAAATGTATGTCTTGCGAAGAGATGAAGACTCTCTTTGCGATAGGAAGAACTCGGCATAAATCTCTGAATATTTACTCTCTTTTCTTCATGAGAATATACGCGTTACGAAGTATTCTGAAAGGCGTACGAACCGCAACTAAAATTCTGTTATTACCTTCAGGTCTAAGCCCAACTGACGTTTGTGTAATAAAAATTAAAAATACAAAAATTTTGATTGAATCGCTTATACAGGGTGATTCATTAACGGTATCGAGCGGCTGTATATAGGAAACTAGATGTGCTACGATTATGTTGTAAAAAATCTATTAACAAATACGGCCAAAAGAAATTGATTTAAAATATTTTCAAGTTTGTAACTTCACCGCTAGGTATAACGGGGGCGATGGCATCGACCCCGACAGCTGCACTAGAAGTCATGCTGAATCTGCCACCGCTGCATATAGTGGTGGAAAGAGAAGCGCGGCTAGCAGCATATCGACTCAGGAATAACAATGACTGGAGGGGTGATTCCCACTCCAGGATCATAGACACATCTATGTCGGAACCAACTCTTGGGATGGTATCCGACAAGATGGTCCCAAGATTTCATTTCCACAAGCCATTTGAGACTCGAATAGAGGATCAAAGCAAGTGGGAGGAAAGGTTTAATACCCTGGAAAGGTGGAGCCTAGTATGGTTTACAGATGGCTCCAAAATGACCAGAGGGACGGGTGCAGGAATATATGGACTCAGACCCAGATGGAGTGCAAGCTACAGTCTGGGGGAGTTCCCTACTGTATTCCAAGCAGAAATCTTCGCGATAATGGCGTGTCTGGCAGAGAATGTACGTAGAGGTTATAGACGTAAACTCATATATATATTCTCTGATAGTCAAGCTGCAATTAAAGCTTTAGCCGCACACAAGGTAAGTTCAAAACTGGTGTGGGACTGTTTACAAATGCTGACTGAACTGGCCACCAACAATACAGTCAGACTGTGTTGGGTGCCAGGGCACAAAGGCATTTGTGGAAATGAGAAAGCGGATGAACTTGCTTGCTAGGAAGGGATCCGAGACAGTGTTCATTGGCCCGGAGCCCTTCTGTGGCACATCTCCCAGTGTGGTCAGGCGGGCTCTGGGCATAGGAAATACTGGACTTCAAGGCCAGGACATAGCCATTCGCTTATGGAGTATCCTTCAAAGGGAAGAACGAATGAGCTACTGAGCTTGAATAGAATCCGGCTCAGGAGAGTGACAGGACTCATAACGGGACACTGTCACTTTAGGAAACATCTACATAAGCTAAAGCTTGTAGACAGTCCAGTCTGCCGAGGATGTGAATCAGCAGATGAAACTTCTCTGCATATCCTGGGCGAGTGCCCGGGATTTGCACGTAGCAAAATGGCGCTCCTTGGGAGACCCTATTTAGAACACAAGGAACTGAGAGAAGTGTCAGCAAGGAAGCTTTTGGACTTTGTAAAAAGGACAAATCTACTTGCTGAATTGGACTAGTAGTGGGACGCACAATAGGCCTAATTAGGCCGCAGTGCTTTGGGACTTTTTAAAGGACCAACCACTAGATGAAGATGAAGAAGAAGAAGAACTTCACCGCTAGGGGGCGCAACTGCTATTGTCAGTTTTTCGAAATTTTGCCTATATAACCTTAGTTGAAAATACACTTTTTAGTTACACTGTTAAGCCTTTCACAAGTTTTGTTTGAACTTTTTTTTTTGTTATTACCATAGCAACGGCAATATGAAGGACGCCATCTTGAAATTTTTAAATTGTCATAACTTCTGAATGTCTTAATCGATTTCAGTAAACGATGGCTCATTTAAAGAACTATTAATAAAATTTATATTTATGATACGGGAATAAAAATATTATTTTCCTAAGCAACGGTAAACGACGTTAATGAGAAAAGTTTTGTAATTGTCTCCGTTTACTAAAAAAATTATATGCAACGATATAGTTTTTTTTCCAAGCCAAAATGAAATTGTAATTCATTGTCAAACTGTATCAATCTTGTCCTTAAAAATTACTTGCTTTGTTTTTTTAATATGTAAGTACACTTTTTGATTTTCTTATTAATTCCAAATATCTGAATAGTTATAAAGATTATTTTTTCTATGACGAGGCAGGCTATGCCCGATGAAAATAGACAACTGAAAAATTATGTCAAACGATATGTGCCAGCTCTTGCTTCGTGCAAAATTAGTGTCATTCGTGTGAGAAAAGTACTTGTGTTCCATATGAAATTCCCAGGTCTCTAACTAATTCTCTTAAACTTATTTGGGGATTTACATGGACACAAGCCAATATATTAATAATACTGTCTTCCGTTCTTGCACGTCGATGTCTTCTTACAGAATGTAGTGGCGTCTTGATAAATGCTGAAATACTTCTCTGGAGTAGCGTATTCTACGAGGGTATTGCAAAGCGTATTCTCTTGAAGCTATAACGGCATTTTCCAAACATTGAAAATAAACTGCCAACATATCACACGCTTCCACATTCGTAAAAGGTATTTTCCTCTTCAGAAGTACTTTTCCAACACAAATAACACTAATTTTGCACGTAACAAGAGCTGTCACATTTCATTTGACGTAATTTTTCTGTCGTCTATTTTCATAGGGCATAGCCTGCCTCGTTATGGAAATAATAATCATTATAAATACTCAGATATTTGGAAGTACCTACATATTTAAAAAAAAATAAAAATAAAGCAAGTTCTTTTTAAGGACAATATTGGTATAGTTTTATAATTAATTACAATTTAATTTTGGCTTGGACTATGGCAATGTTATTTAGAGAACTAAATAATGGAGGATATTCTAGCACAACTTCATTATTTTAGCAATAACTTGAAAACCAAAAAAAGATATCGACCTCCTGTTTGTGTATTTGTTTTCCTTAATGAATGGTCTATCAAGCCATGAAAAAAAAAACCTATATCGTTGTATTTAATTTTTTTAGTAAACGGAGACATTTGCAAAACTTTTCTCGTTAGCGTCGTCTACCGTTGTGCAGGAAAATAATATTTTTATTCCCATATCATAAATATAAATTTTATTAATAGTTCTTTAAAATGAGCTATCGTTTATTGAAATCGATTAAGACATTCAGAAGTTATGACAATTTAAAAATTTCAAGATGGCGTCTTTCATATTGGCGTTGCTATGGTAATAACAAAAAAAAAAGTTATGCGAAATTTCGGAAAACTGACAATTCTCTGTAACACTATAGTAGTTGCGCCCCCTAGCGGTGAAGTTACAAACTTGAAAATATTTTAAATCAATTTCTTTTGGTCGTATTTGTTAAGATATTTTTTACCCCATAATCGTAGCACGTCTAATTTCCAATATACAGCCGCTCGATACCGTTAATGGATCACCCTGTATATTACATCACTCTGTATTTTATGAATTTGCCGATGGGTAATATTGAAACACAGCCCTGTATTAGCACTTTTTGATGTCTTCCATATCATTTGTCGCCAGTTATGTCATGTGCATTGAATTTTTAAATTTACAATTTTTTTTTTCAAGTACTTTCCGTACACCTAAATATTTTGTAACAAAAAAAAATGTTGATTTAATTTTTCCAGTACTAAAAAGCAAATAAAAAAAATGAACGGGACACATTAATTTAAGAGTAAACCAGTGAAATATTTACCTAAATTTTATGTCGCCATTCATTAAATCATTTTCCCAAGTTTTTTTCAAAATAAATTCCCAAAGTGCATCCTCACTTTTTTCTAGAAATTAATTAAATGAAAAACTAATGCTTAAAATTGTATGCATCTCGGCTAAAACCTACATTTATATGGCTTTGTTGGCCGACGCGTTAGGCGAAAAGCAAACTCGTCCATAAAAATACATTTTTGACCTCAGTACAAGAGTAACTATTTTAAAAATATACACGTTGTTGGTTCGTCTGTATTCTTATTTTTGTTTAATTTCCGGCAGCCGTTCGTGAACAACCTCCACAACCCGAAGGGGAAGAAGGCTGGTCTCAGGTCCGAGGTCGACGTTAACTTCTTTCATAGCGAAAATATAACACGACGAACTTAGTTCTCATTGCATATTGAAGTAATTTCTAATAATATACGAGTAATATCTAATTTTTATTTACAGGTTTTTATGGAAAATGGTTGTAGTAATACTTGTCTAGATTTTAAAGCGTCTACAGGCTTTTCTTATATTTCTAAAGCCGTGATCCATGTTATATTTATTTTAATCAATAAATGCCTATCATACGATAAAAATTTTATTTCGCCCCTTTCACTACGACGAAAATTGCGTAGTTACAACTATTTCGATGAAATCGAACCGTTAAGTGCTGTGCTATTTACTAACGATTCTTGTATTCACGCATTATAATGTTTTTCTCGTACAGTAAGTATACACTTCCTTATTTTCATCTACTTTTAAATCCGAACTACCAAGGAAGAAGTTTGACTGCCTTAATTTTAACAGAGGATAGAATACATTAAAATAAACAAAAAACCTGGGTCCTAAATTGCCATTTCTGAGAAAAAAATTATCAAAATCTCCAGCTTGATGTACAAAAGTCCGATTAATTAAGGAATATTGACAATCGCGTGCATGGAATACCATAAAATACAATGTTTATCACTTTTCTGAACTTCTAAAAAATAATTAGCGTAATAAACTTAAAATTTGATAAAATTCATATCGAGCAATGTGACAACGGCGCGGCGGATAACACGACGTACTAGCTGTCCAGCAATACGCAATTTAGTTGGTATCTGGAATTGGACCGTGTCTGAGTGTTTTTTGCGTGCCACTATTTCCTTTTCTTGAGGTGTTTTCCAGCGAGTGCGAGACAATTGGATTCGAAGGTGTCGTGCGTGCATCGAAAATGGTGCTGGAAGCATATGTTGTAGTTTGTTTTGTACTTGTGCGTTTAATCCTTTTCTGCGCAATACATCTGAATGTAGCTACTGCGCCGTGCGCGAAAGTTTACCGCGTGCGACTATACTCGTCTCGAGCACTACTTATATTTTTACATTATGTTGTGTTAAATTAATTTAATATATATTTAAAGGTTTCAAAATAATTGTAATAGTTTAGTTATTAATATTTTATTATAAATCATCCATCACTACGCTCCTCAATCTCAAATTCGTCGCCGCTATCGCTCTTCGCTAAAATTTCTTCCACTACTTTGTCAATTTTCTAAATATTTTAAATAAAATACAATATATCGACAGCCGTACTAAATAGAAACTGAAAAAAAGATTAACAATCTTGGCATTATTACCAATACCTCCTTCCATTTGAATAGTTGCCACAATCGCTATAAGCTCTGCCCGCAAAAATTCCTGATACCAATTGCAACAACTGAGTTGCTAATGCGCATGGTTGCGAATATATACGGTTTGAGCAGCCTGATCCAATTTAACTATTCAAGCGAATTAATTGGTCTGGAGCAGTTTGAGTCCTATAAATTTTTAGCGAATAACTCGTCTGGAGCAGCGAATGGGTTAAAAATTACTGAATTTTGCTTTTTGGTAAGTTCCTAAATTATTTTTAATATGTATGATTATTTGGACGACGTGAATCTTTGGGTACTTTAATTACATATTTTTCAAATACATAATCTGATCAAAAGTTAAGTTTCTATTCTAAGTGATTCATAATTACTAAAATTCGAGCTAAAATTTAAGCACAACACTATCTGGAAACTGGAAAACAACTGTTTTGAAATTTACTAAGTGCTTCACAATAATAGTTGTTTACATTTTTTCCGTAGGACAAGTCTGCCTACTCTATCTCATGCTGAAGTAATGGCAGTCAAACTTCTTACACCCTGTGTGTACATCTAGTGAATATTAGTTTACGAATACCTGACTATTCATCCCACTGTAGTAATTCCCATGGAAATTCAATTTCTCGCAATGAAACGGAGGAAAATTGTGAAGTAGTATTAAATCGTACCGTAGAAAAAAAACACTTGTAGCATCGCATAATGTCTGAATAAAAGGTTGCGTAATATGCATTCTGAAGTATAATCAAATGTAAATAAGTTTTGCATGTACATATGAGAATATATGCACACGTAATTAGAAATTTCGGTGTTTTTTCAACAAATCTGGTGTTAATTGCGCTCAGATATGGTTCTTTCCAAAACATTCAACATGGCAACACTGACAGGGTGGATCGGTTTCAATACATTTAGGGGGTGTCTTTTATTTCTTTAAATGGGAGAAGTAGTTCAAATGTACCGAGCCGAATTTTCTAGAATAGTTGATTGTCGAGATTCAAGATGCAGAAAAATCCCTTCTAAATTTGTTTTTTTCTAATTTGTGACATTAAACAAATATAGTTTTATGAGGAGAGATTCAAATATAAACTAAATTATATTTAAAATACCGTTTCAAACATTTTTTACTAAAAAAAAAAACTAAAAATAGTAAGATCTTTCTATAGTAGTTATTTTATCTGTTAATCTTTGTTGAGAGTGATGTTAGAACAAGATTTTTCTTTGAAAGATTACATTGTTTCGCTATTGGGATATTTAATTTAAAGAATCTTTTGGACCCGTTTAAAAAATCTGTTAAATAAAGGAGAAAAGCTGCTGTCATAATTTATTTATAAATAAAACTTATTTTACATTGTCATATAAATAAAATGTACATAACTACATACTGTTAGAAGGCAGTCTGGATATTTACAATAATTCCCTAAATATTAAAGTTTAATACAACATAATGGCTCCGTTAGTTTTTTCTTCTAAGACCGGTATAACCGTTTCTACCTCCTTTTCGCTATTCGCTATGAAAACTATTATAATATTTACAAATGTTGCTACTGCCGCACCAACAACAAACCTAAAAAGAGAATTGCAATTTTAATTCATTTATGTTTTGGGGGTCTATGATTTTAGCGGCACAATCAAAAGAAATAATGCAAAGCAAAACACATTTTCTGTACGATTATTTTCTCGTTGAAATATCGGTTATTGAGTGAAAAGTTTTTTTATTGATGATTGTACAGCAAACAGAAGGTGGGTTTTAGAAACCTGACTTAAACCGCTTCAAGGGTCTTTTGCTGTTTGAGAAAAAATTTTTTTTATACTCGGCATCAATTTGAAAAAGTGCAAACAAATAACTTTTTCTGCTGTTTTGGAAAATCAACGACTACTTTGCAAATGTTGCAAAAAATACCAATGTTTATAGGTCTTTTTTTAGTACAATATATGTCCATGAAGCCTATAAATTTTAAGATCTATCGGTCAAATCTTTTTCCTTTCCTGAATCGTCAGTTTTATAAAAAATTAAATTATTAATGATTAAGTTATTTTTCTCACAATTTCGCGTTATATACTCATTCAAATATCAAAAAAAAAAATCTAAATTTTGAAAGAAAAATCAAATTTGCCAACATTTTTTAAAATTTGTTTGCATCCTCTATTTTACAATTTTACATTGAATATTTCTAATGTCAGGAACTTTTTTTTATTAAAAAAAATTCGAATTAATGTTAAAAAATCAAATTTTTCAAAAATTTTTAAAATTTTTTTGCATCCTGTATTTTACAATTTTACACTGAATATTTTAAATGTCGGGAATTTTTTTTAAATTCAAAATTTTGAAAAAATTGAATTTAAAAAAAAATCGAATTTTTCAAAAATTTTTAGAATTTTTTTGCATCCTGAATTTAATAATATTACATTGAATATTTCAAATGTCGAGAAATTTTTTTTAATTTAAAAAAATTCAAAATTTTGAAAAAAATCAATTTTGAAAAAATATATAATTTTTCAAAAATTTAATGACTATTTGCGTCGTCTATTTTACAATTTTACATTGAATATTTCAATGTCGAGAAATTTTTTTTTAAGTTAAATAAATTTCAAAAATTTCATTCATTTTGAAAAAAATCCAATCTCAAAATTTAATTTAATTTAATATTTTTTTGCGTCGTCTATTTTACAATTTTACATTGAATATTTTAAATGTCGAGAAAAATTTTTTTTTAATTTAAAAAACGAAAAATTTTTTTTTCAAAATTTAGAAATTTTTATTTCCGATATTTTATGCGAAATTTGTTCCATCTTAATCATTAATTGATATTTAAGGAGCAATAAAATTGCTCCTTTAATTTTTTATAAAACTTTTGACGATTCAAGATTCAACCGATTGATTTCAAAACTTACAGGCATCATGGGCATGCATTGAGTTAAAAAAAAAACTACGAACATTGGTACTTTTCGTAATTTTTGCAAAGTAGTCGTTGATTTTCCAAAACGGCAGGAAAAGTAATTTTTTTGCACTTTTTCAAATGCCGAGTATAAAAAACAAAAAAAAATCCTCATACAAACAAAAAAGACCCTTGAAGACCATTGATTCAGGTTTCTAAAACCTACTTTTTGTTCACTGTATGATCATTAGGCTCAATAGCCGATATGTCAATGAGAAATAATTGTATAGAAAAAAAAAAAACAAATTGAAGCTGATGAATCAGGCTAAATGACCCTGGTATTGATTAAACCAGAAATAATTTTTCTAACGTAGTTTTAAAAAAAAAAATTGTAAAACTTTTGCCCTGCATTTATTTCTTTCGATTGCGCCGAGAGTAATGATCAAAAAAATTTTTCATCCTGCTCCTTTAATTTTTTTGCTGAATTTAATTAAAATATAGAAATTCAAACAATTTCCTCATTTTTTATAAAATATTAATCTGTTATTGTCAAAATAGGAAAGAAAAATTCTCAACTTCTCAAAAAATTGCACAATAATATTTTTTATGAAAACAAAACCGATATGTGGCTATAATATTGATAATAATCATTATTAATCAGTACTTACCAGAATGAATATCCCAATTCAGCCATATTTTCTGAAGTCCATTCATTATCCTTATCTTCCCTGGATAGCACATTGTACTGGATGTTTATATAAAATTGTGCTATCCAACAACAAATAGCTATTATGTCGCTTACAACTGAAACAAATAAACAAGCCTTGTCAGAGATTGGAATAAGCAGTTCAATAATTTAATTTTTCAAAAATAAATTTTCAACAAAAAGAAAACGGATTGTCCTTAAGCCGAGACTGGAGCAGGGCTGGTTTCCATGTACAGTAAGGTCAAACTATGCTTCTGCAGTTTATTGAATAAAGAACAAAGAAATATATCATAATTGTTCACCAGGGTCAAATCTCAATACTAATATTTATGTGATAAGAACTATTCTAATTTTTCAACATTTTTTTAGTGATTTCTGGTTGCATTTTGATTTGAAGATGTAATGTTAACCGCGTTTGTGATAAAAATCATTAAACTTTATGTAAATTGGTCTTGATTAGCTTGAAATTATCTATTAACTAAATTTACTAAGTAAATACAATAAAAAATTGAACTACTACTACTATTTGCATCAATTCATCAATAAATTCATCAACTTCATGAATTAATGCATGTACATTTCTTTGATTGTGTAAAACTGCCATTAGATAGATTTAAAATTGATTTTAAAGATGCTGCATAGATTTAGTTTGGATCTCAGTTCTGGTTTTTGAACCATTACAATTTTTTTCTCAGAGTAAATAAATACTCGTGTGCAACAAACACTAGAAATATGAAATTTTAAGATGTGGAAACTCTATACACCAGTGCCAATATAGTAGGCAGTGATTCATTTGTAACATGCAGATTCCGGGTAAAGCGTACGGGTATTGCAATACCATGGGCGTGTCATTTTAGAGGGTTCCAAAAATTGTTAAAATTAGAACAACACATAGATACTCCAATTTTAATACAAACTGAATTATCTTTATTTAAATTTATACTAGCCTTGGTATATCCAAATATCCAACAGGTAGGAAAGTATTTTCTATTTATCTATTTTAAAGTATGTATTCAATCATTTTACCCTGGTAGACCAAGACGTATTGCCTGTGTACACTTTGTCTTTTGAAGAAGTGTAACACCGCAAGCTTTAGCCATTTCATCCATTACATGTTTCATGTATTTATATATCTTCTCTTTGTGCAATTGCTAACAATTGCACTTTTAACATAGTATCTTTATATTCAATATGTTTCCATTCAACCAGTCCTTGATGTATCCTTTATTTCTCCATGCAGATGTTGGCAGTTTTACAATTCATCGACTTATGGTAAGGCGCATTATCCATGACAATCACAGCACCAGATTTAACGGGGCAAAATGGATGCAAACCATTTTTCAAATACCCCACTGACCATGGTAATCGTCTGTTGTAATGAAACTTGATATTTTTTAATGTCGAAAATTCATTTTTAAAATAAAATCCTACGGATGTGGAAATAATAACACGTGTTTCCTACTTGTACGCTTATGATACGCACAACACGGAAGCTGGAAAAAAGTGTGCGCGCGCAGGGTGAATATACTATCGGAACAATATGCGAAATGAACGGCACATTACAATTCCCATGCAGATAATACACAGAACTGTTTTATCAGATTAATGAATCGTAAAAATTCTACTTTAATATATTTATGACTCACTGTTTTGTATTTTGGCACTGGAGTATAGGTGTAATTTTATTGCTGTGACTTACGAGCTAAGAAGTTCCACAAATACAATCCAGGTACGCTCGTTAAACATCTTGACGTCGTGGTGGCAGTGTTGATGGCGGCAAAAACGGCGCTAAACGTGGAAAACAACAGTCCCAGGCAAATAGTGACCACGGTCCCCAACCAAAATCCGTAAATCAAAAATTCCGGTTCATATTTAAGGAGGTGAATGACTGCAAAAGATACGTTGTTTGTAACTGTTACTTACAGGATTTAATAAATAACTCTTTAATTGAATTCGAAACATGTCATGCATAAATGCGAACACCTAGGCGGTTATATAAAATTGATGATGTAACAAAAAGTTTCTAGAACGTACATTTTTTAATATTTATTAATAACAAAATTATATACAGTGCGAACTCTCTTTATATTTGTTGGGCCGTATAATTCTAATGATTTTTTTTATAAATAGTAGCGCTGTAGATGTACAGAGTGATTGATAAATGCGTTTTTTATGAAAATAATGAGATGATTTAAATTCTAAAAACGGTGTAATATTTTCAGTGGCTGCGACTTAAATGTAAGATAAAAAAATATTATATAATCGCACCGTCTGTGGTGGCGATCTGAAATTTTTTTCTCTTCCCAGAAATATATCTTTTGACGTCGCTGGAAAAACCTTCCCGTTTTACGACTTTTTCTATTTTTTGTATACTTTCAACTGTTTTCGAAATACTTGACTTTTTTTTCAATACTTTGTACTTAAATATTTCCGCCTTTCCTGTTATGGAAGAAAAGAGTCGCAACTGCATCTATATGGAAGTATTATTGTACCAAATGTCAAACAAATCTTAAAATCCGTTTCAAAGATGTTTTTGCTGCCTTTTGATGCCCTATATCCACTAAACGAGGCAACTTAGCACAGAGGTTAAATCTTCTTATTATGGGCGTAGCTAGGAGAAAAAAACGATCCAATAATATCATCTTTCTCATATCAGTAAGTCGCTGACTGCGCTACTTTTTTTTTAGAATCAGACGAAAAAGTACTTAGATTTTGAAATTATATAATTTTCACTACCAAGAACGGCGGTGACAACATTTTTAACATTAAGGCGATGTTTCGCATCGTATTAACTATGTCCTGTACAAATTTAGTTTCGTGAAACTTTCTGTTTCAAAAATACAATACCTATGTATGTTTTCAGTCACAAAAATTGAATAATTACACATATTTCGAATTTTCAGCACCAAGAACGGCGGTGGCAACATTTTTAACACTAAGGCGATGTTTCGCATCGTATTAGCTATGTCCTATACAAATTTAGTTTCGTGAAACTCTCTCCGTTTCAAAAATACAATACCTATGTATGTTTTCAGCCACGAAAATTTAATAATTCCACATATTTCGAATTTTCACCACCAAGAACGACGGTGACAACATTTTTAACAGTAAGGCGATGTTTCGCATTGTATTAGCTATGTCCTGTCCAAATTTGGTTAATGCAACTCTCTCGATTTCGAAAGTACAACACCTATGTAAAAATTTGGGTCTAAAAACCGACATTTTTTATTTGTTTCCTTTGTTTTTCCCCGCAGTTTTTTTCCGAATCTTCCCGGAGTTTTCCCCTGGACTTTTTCCCCGAACTTTTTCCCCGCACTTTACTCCGGAGTTTGCATGAAACAGCTGGTACACATTTGTTTTTGCTCAAAATGCGACTGTCTCAAAGCTAATAACATTTTACTACTTTTTATTACAGTATTTGTTTTATAATCAAAGCTCCACTTCCAAAGCTTCAGTGCGTTTAATTCCCGACAATAGACGTTTTTGATTTTTGACGCAGTCAGCGACTTACCGATATGCCGATATAGACCGGGAAAGGAAACATTTTATTGTTGGAAAGTCTTACGAATGATAACAAAAGGCGTATCATCAAATGGGTCATGAAAAAAGTATAGCGTTATTCGTTAAAAATTCGTCATTTTTCGTTCTACGCGTTATTGTAAAATAACTATTAATCTTGGCAAAAAAGTTGAACAGACGATTTGATCTAGAGAAACTCATCTTTAAAATGAGACTTTATAAGTTAAAATTGTTTTATAAACAAAAAAGTTATTGCAAAATTAAACGGAAAAAGTGCTTTTTCTTTAATTGTTAATAACCTTTTAAATAATTAATAAAATCTTACCAAACTTTCCCAAAATGTGAGTTTTTATATCCTTAAAAGATGTGCAAAAGATGGGCTCGATCGGTCAAATAGTTTTTGCAAAATTCCATTTATTTATCCCATTTTTGCAAAAAAGGCCCATTGACTATTCCGGGGGCAGGGTTATGACTAAAACATTTTTTTTGGACTCATTTTCTTCAAAGGGAAACCAATAAGTATCCTCTAGTTAAAAAAAGTTTATTTTTTTTCAAATTTAGTTGTATACATATAATTGTTATCAAATAGAAGGCACTTTTTCCGTAATAGACAAATAAAATAACTCCGAGGTTTTTAACTTTTGAAAGAAGTTATATACACCATTCGAAAGCTCGTAAAAAAAACTAGAAATTGAAAAAAAAAACAAGTTTCTACGACCAATAGGTCCGGAGTTAACAATTTTTTTTAAAGAAAATCACAGAGCAATTTGTTATAATCATCAAGACCTGAAATTTTAACATTTTGTAAATTAAGGTTTAAACTTTATGCCCTGTTAATTTTAATTAAATTTGCCCATAATTGATCAATCCAGAGCCCGTCAAAGTAAGGGTACGCGGCAGTAACCCTTCAGGGAGTGGTGGTGGGGGGATCTTCCTCTCAACCAGGAAAAACTGGCAATATCAAATTTGTAATATCTCAGCTTCTATGTAACGTAGAACCTTCTTTCTTTTTTAATTTGGGGTAGCTCGACGAAAAAATTACTTTTGGATTATTTCTACCCTTGTAAAAAATGTGATTTTGTAAAAAAAATTGCTATCTCCGGCCCTATTGCTCGTGGAAACTTGTTTTTTTTTTCAATTTGTAGGTTCCGAGCACACCCCTGCTCCCCCTGGCTACGCTCATGAATATTCCTTTAGATACCTGCTACCTACATATATCTTTCTCATCATTAATTGACATTTACACCAAACCTACTGTAACTCTGAAAAAAAAATGTGTCATTCAAATTCACATATTACGCCAATCAAATATTATTTGGGATATCAATTTATTTTTAAAGATATTCCAAGACGTTAGTCGCTCGTTGATGATTATGGATTTATTTTACATTTAACATAAATTAAATAAAAGTTAAAGCAGTTTAATAATAACTATCACTGGGGTAACAAACTAGTTATTCCAAATTTCTCAGTAACAACTCATTTACAACAATTAACTATCCGTTACATGCTCCCGAGAATGGAATAATAAGCGGCTGGTAATTTTTATTTTTGTCACATTACAATTCACACTTGTTTTTGTAACGTGACGCAACAAACATTTTAAGACGTCTTTGGAATAATAATGGCAGAAATGTGTGTGTCGTTCTCATCCTAGTTTTTAGACTTTCATTTTTACACGAATTGTTGAATGCCATTGTTATTTCAGAGCGCACAAATCTACGATTATATTTTATTGAATGGAATTATACTGGGCGTTTCCTATGTAGTATAAAATATTTCCGAGGGTGATTCTAGAAAATGTTTTATGAATATCTATTTTCCATTGATTTTTTTTTTAATTTCTTAATAATGAAATGTTTTCTTTTTATCAAACTTCGAATAATTAATTCGCATATTAGAGAGCATGTTTTAACGTAAACTAAAATGTTATCACCTCGCCACATGTGTACAAAGGTAGTGTTCAATTATTTTATAAGATAATAAGCACGCTAATGGTATTTTTAAAGTATTTTACGTAATCTTCATTCGATACCTACTTGATATAAGATGCCGCTTCGCATTTTTTTTATCTGGAACTCAAATTTGGAGAAGAATGTTGTTTTGTTAGAGACAAAAAAAAATTTTTCAAAATCCATAATTAGTTTTAAGAATTTTTATTGAAGTAAAGTCAAAAGCAATACAATTGATCATTTTAAATAAAATTTCTGCAACTCTCTCTACAATTAAGCTCCAACAAAAAAAATGAAGAGGCTTCTTATTGTCAGGATTACAAAAAATATTCATAAAAGTAAAAATGTTCAATGGCAAGTATGTTCTTTTAAAAAAATTAATTCAAATTAAAACATTTTTTTCTAGTGTTCTAACCAATTGAATTCTACCACAGCTGTTTACAATACCTAGTCCAGAATAATAATTGAAATTGATATGTCTAGACATAATTGTACAAAATACATACCTGATAAACTGAAAGAATAAATAATGAAATTATTCAAAGGAAGAACGCAACCTACTGATCTGGCAGAGAGCGACCTGCTAATTGTAGCATTAGTGTCGCACTAGGCGAAATAAGCTTTTTTTACTACCTTTTATTGGTGAATGGATGATTTTAGTCGAGATCTTGGTTGTTTACTTGATATTTCGGGTGTAATTCAGTGCTGCACAATACTGCAGTCCGCAGAGTAGTTATTTCTCACAACATCATTAGTTAAAAAGTTCAAATCAATACACTTATATATTTTTGCAAAAACTGACTATCAAGTAGTCTTCTAGTGCATTAATTGACAATTTTTTTTCGATATTTATTGTTTAAGTATTCCAAGACCCAGGACATAATGTTCATTATTTAAATAACGATTTTTAGCGCACATTTTAACGGAATGGTGCAATATTTATTAGTACACGTTCAGTGTTCAGTGGTTAGTATTTCGTCGTTATGGGATTTACAATTAGACATTTCATCAGAATGTGGTTTCTACCAAATTAGTAAATTTATGGGTAAGATACAAGGTGAAAAGTTGCTATAAACTTTTGTTTAGAGTCTTGTAATGTGTACGACTACGACAAACCAGTTATATTAATTTTTACCATTTAAATGGGTTTACTTACGAAGTAACAGCTTATTAAATTTCACAACTACAAGATTACCCAATCAAATTAAGAAACTAATTTTGCGCAACCCACATTTTTATTTTGATCAGTGATCGATCATTCTTTTACGTCAATTTAAATTTCATAAAAATATGTAGAGAGGTTGAGCTGTCAAATGTATTCCAGTAACCGCAATTTTTTTCTTCTTTAACAAACTTTTTTAGTTTAGTTGTGCTATTAATTTTTCTATTCACAAGAAAATTAAACGATTTTAAATGTTAACAAAAGTCAGTCCCTATGTACATATATAAGATGTAAAAATAGAATTAATAGAAAGCATTAATTATGTATTTAAACTTAGGAATGACATATGTTTATAGAAAGTGTGTCTTCAGTGTTTGTTTTTTAGATTTTTCCAATTTCAGGTCGTCTGATCTTGAACTACAAGATTATTTCAAACTATAAATCTTAGGTATAAAACTTGCTGAGTGTTATTACAAGTACGTCAACCAATGGGGGAGCTACAAATGTCACTGAAATTTTCAGATTTTCGACGCCATGAGTATTTTGGAAATTGGATAAGTGCATTTAGTTTTCGATGGTAGTTCTAAAAAAAAGACTAAAACTTTGATTCTTTTTGAAAAAGGAACTAGTTACTGCTTAATTATTTATTGTTTTCAAATAAGTTTTACACTGCAATAAATAAATTGAAAATAACTCCTTTAACAAAAAATATTCCTTTTACAATAAATAAATAAATAAATAAATAAATAAATAAACAAATGAAAAAGAGTCATGTTACACTGTCACTTTACAAATTAGGTACCTACTACACTACAAAGACACATTTTTTCACTTGTTTTTCAAAACTATTAATTATTCAACTTACAAAATTTCAACGCTGGTATAACTTTAAACCCGTTTTTTTCACTAAACGGCTGTTTTCAGCAACAAATACTAATAGGTTATTGATTATAGATTTTAAAAGGACGTTCAAGATATTTTATTACATAAATTGTTCAAATGGTCATTTTAGATTAAAAAACCGCTGAGTGCTATTAAATTAGAGGGTGGAAATTGGAGAGAAAATGCACCCCTTTTAGTTTTTTATTGTAGCTCGAAACCGAAACAAAATTTCGCTAAAGTTCATAGGAAAAATTATTTAGAGAATTGAATTTCCCATCGAAAGGGCTTATTTAAAAAATTTAAAAGGAAAATTTTATGCAAGAAATCGTTAATAACCAATTTGAAAAAAAGCAAACAATTCTATTTTTTTTTACTTTTTTGCCTCTAGTATTTTTTTTTGAGTAAAGATAGATATAGGCATTGCTTCACAGAAAAAAAAAAGTAGATAAAATTTCCTTCAAAACAAGAGTTGTCGCGTTTACCCCTATACATTTTAATTCTAATTTTTTGCAAAAAAAGGAAGGAAATAAGACGTTCAAGTATTTTCATCACGACTTGTTCGGAGGGTCATTAAATATGAAAATACTGCGGGGTGCTATTAAATTAGAGGGTTGAAATTGAAGATAGGGGTGAAAATGCCCTTTTGCAGTTTTTTAAATATATCACGAAAACGAAGCAAAAGAAGTATAATCCATAGGAAAAATTTTGTAGAGAATTAAATTTCCCATCGAAATGGCTTATTTCAAAAATTTAAAAGAAAAATTTTATGCAAAAAATCGTTAATAAACAATAAACATTTTTTTTACTTTTTTTGTTCTAATTATTTTTTTTTGTAGAATTAGGCAAAGAAAATTGCTGTAAATTCTTATTATTTTTACAACAAATTGGTTTTTCACTTAATAAAAAATTGTTTCAAAAGTTTTATTTGTTAATGATAAATAAAGATTTTTCACAACTTAAGTCAAAAATTAAAAAAAAAATCTTATTTTTGCTCTTTTATAAAATGTTTCTTTTAAATTTTTTAAATAAGCCATTTTGATAGGAAATTCAATTCTACACACAATTTTTCCTAATAACTATACCGAGATTTTGCTTCATTTTCGTGCTATATTTAAAAAACAGCAAAAATACATTTTCACCCTTATTTTCAAATTCAAACCACTAGCTTAAAAGCACACCGCGGTCTATTCATTTTTAATTACCCTTCGAACAAGTCATGTGATGAAAATCCTTGAAAATCTTATTTCCTTCCTTTTTTTGGAGAACATGAGAATTAAAAGGTATACGGATAAAAAAATGGACTAATTGTAAGTTTGAGCGGCCATATATCAGTCACTTTTCATCCAAAAATACTTTACAACCTCTTATTTTGAAGGAAATTTTATCTACTTTTTTTCTATGAAGCAATGCCTATATCTATCTTTACTCAAAAAAAAAACTAGAGGCAAAAAAGTAAAAAAAATTAAAAAATCGAATTTTTTGCTTTTTTTCAAATTGTTTATTAACGATTAACGAAGCGTTCTTTTATTTTCATAGCTCACTTAAATCAATCTAATTCCCAGTTCCAATCACAGTTTACCTGGTCAAAGCAGTCAATTGGATTTTTATTCATTTTAATAATTTATGTCAGGCTGACTATGATGCAAAAGAATTTGACTAGATCTTGTTAAGCAGTAGAAATTTTCAGTCATGAAATTAGCTACTTTAAGGGATGGAATATGAAATTTTAATCTGGAAATTGTCTTTACGTTTGAGACAAGCAGTTTTGTGTAATTAGTAAATCATTCGGTTAACCTAGAAAAGTGTGGAATATTATTGCTACTAGAGAATGTTCGTGTACCTACTTTAAAAAACAAAATTCTTTAAAAAAAGGCTAAGAACGATATTTTTAGAGGCTTAAACAAGAAGATTTATTATAATTAGATTGGAATGTTAAAAATTTTTCGCAAAAAGTAAAATAAAATCAAATTCTGTCAATATGACAAAAAACGAATTGTGCGAAAATTCGCTAAAAACTAGCGAATTTCACAACTGTAAAAAACTCAAAATTCAAGAACATTTTGCAGATAAGAATGTTTCTCGGTATTATACAGAGTGTTCTAAATATTTATTTGTATACAAATTAAAGTAATTCTAAGTAAAATCTAGAAATAGTAAGAACTTTCTATCGTGGTTATGTTTACTTGTTGGTCTGTGCCAGGGGTGAAGTTAGAAGAACAAGAATACACAATATTTCTTTGAAGGATTACATTATTTAACTATTTAAATATATCAAGTACGTATTTTTGTATTAAGTTTTTTTAGTTTTTATCTATACTAATATTATAAAGAGGAAAGATTTGTATTTTTGTATGTCTGTATGTTTGTTACGAATAAACTCAAAAACTACTGGACGGATTTCGATAATTCTTTCACCATTAGAATGCTACATTATCCCTGAGTAATATAGGCTATATTTTTTATATCCCAAAATGTTTAAAATAAATGTCCACCCGTGCGAAGCCGGGACGGGCCGCTAGTATTAAATAATTATTAATTATTGGCTGTTTGCTGGGTATTGCTGGTATAATTCAATGTTATTTGGGGCATGCAGCTCAAAAGAGTAGGTATTTCTCACAATATTAGCAGTTAGGAGCAGGAGTATTGTCTGTGAAGTTGTTTAGCTTCATTCTTAGAAAAAAAATCTTTGTTTGAATTAAGCTTTAAAATAATAGAATATGTTTTTTAAAGGTATTTCGATATGTTTGCGTTATTTTCAAAAATTTAAACACTTGTAACTTTGGACTAATAATATTTTGGCCTAAAGCTTATCTGGTGCTTTCATTGGAATACACCCTGTATTTGTTATTGTACGTACCTGTCTAATTCAAGGTTTCAACTCGCCTAAAAAAGCCAGCATAGGTATTCGCATTTATTGGAAAACGTTAATCGGGAGAAATCCCGCCCCGAAACTTTACCACACTCACCATCAATTTCGTAAGTTCTCCAGCCGTAGGCGACGTTCAGGTCTTTCCTCCCGTCGAACAGCCCGAAATGGATCTTCCCGTCGCTCTCCATGGGATTCTTCACCCGCTTCGCCTTAGCATTGACCCAATGCTTGGTGCCCAAACTAGCCACCAACAAGGCCATCGCTATACAGGCCCCGAAGAAGGTCACAAATATCATTCCTCTCTTGAACAGATGCATCCTTAGGTCATCTTAGCACGGGTAAAATAAATTTGTATTTCCACGGCATAGGCCTGTTTGGGTGCGCTTAGGGTCGTTTTCTCGTCTCGTAGACTTGGAAACCACCGAACCAGAAATCCGGGATGGTGCGTGTCTTTCTCTTTCATTAAAGTCGCCTTCTGTTTCCGTTGGAAAATGGTATTTCAAAAAGTCCCGGGGCTATCAGTCGAGATGGCTGTTGTCCTACATATCCGCGGATCTCGCACGGTACACATCACCATATCACGCGGTTTTTCACCGTCATTTTCTGCACTTTTTCCGTTTTGTTCTGAAGATTCGTCGTTCACACGCCACTAGTAAAATTAATGTAAACACTTGCGACCGAAATGACCGATATTAACGTGGATATTTAGGCTAAAGGCCTCTAAAAAGCTGTCGCGCTAGTCATTTCTACCTCTGCGTTCGCGGTACTCTTGCATTTCCACCTTGGTCAGTCGACCAGCGTTGAAGCAGGTATTCGAGAGCAGGTCCGGTTTTGCGTAATTGTTTGGATAAGCACTAATAATGTCCTAAGTGCCACTTTATACTTATAATTTCGGTTATTTATATAAAAATTGCATATATCACACCGTCTATGTGTGAAACCATGTCTCTATTATAATATACGAGGTGTCTTCATATTCCCAGTAACACCAATTATTTTTTGTCTTAAAGGTTTGTTAAAAGAAATCATACCTGGTCGAACAATTCGATATTTTATTAGTTCTAATTAAGCTCGAACACCTATTGTGGAGGGAGAAAAAAATTACGAGCAGAGGGGATATTTTTTTACAGTTCTAGCAACTCAATTATTACTCCAGTCAAATTAGATCATAAAAACTGAAAACTAAAAAAAAAATGACATTTTATTGCACTTTATGACGGGGAAGAGTATGTAGAATGAAAATATCACAAAAATAACTCGAAAGAAGTGACGTTAAGTTGGCAAATTGCAAATAAGTTGCAAAATTACGTATTTCTTTACTTTTTTTACTGCCCACAAAAATCTAGACGATCTATGGGAAAATTAGCCATTTTATGTTGTAGGCAATTAAATTACTTACAATTTAAGGTATCTAAAGTAATATTTCACCAATTTGTTAACTGTAAAATAAAAATTGAACGCGCAAAAATCAGTTTTCGAAAATTGCGCATTATTATTGCAAAAAGCGGTGCTTGATGAAACTTATGGAAAAGACGGTCAATTCAAAGACCAACATGTATGCCAAAGGTCGACTCGATTGACCGTAAAATTGTTGCTACAGCTATTTGTCAATTATTATATCGTAGATATGGGTTGTAATTGATCCAAAGAAACATATAGAACAAGAAAAATTTCAAAAAGTTGATATTAAGTTGCCCTTTACAACTAACAAAATAGGACATGCAAAACAACGTTATAAACAAATTGTTCCAGGGTTAGGCAAGAGCCGCTCGAGAATTCGCTCTTTTTGCATTAAATAAAGCTTATTTTTAGAATAATGAACGTTTTTTGATAAAGAAAATATGGATTATTGCTTAAAAAAACGTTTTTAACTTAAAAAAAATGTATAAAAAGTGAAAAATTACTTATTACATTGATTTTCAGTAAAAACGACAAATTTAAACATTCCAGGCACTAGGAAAAAAAATCGCAGCGTTTTGAAATTATCAAGGTTTCTTTAGGACACTTTGAGTTTGAAAAGTTACAGTCAATATCCTTAGATTATTCATTACTTGCAAAGTTATGCCATATTATTCAAATTTCCCTAATTATGCAATTTTTTACTTTTTTCCAACATTTTCACATCGAAAAAATTGTTTTAATCAAAAACTAATAGTTACGACTTTGCAGTATTGAAAACCCTGCCTGGATTTCCTGTCCCACCATTATTTCTCAAGTAATTGATTGCCGAAATCAAAAATTATTTTTTTTGCTTTGATCGACGATAACTTAGCGACAAATCATCGCACAGAGCTTCGGAACCGCTTAAATTGAAGAGAATTAAATTATCTAAAAAAACTCTATGGTGAAATTACAAAAAAATGTATATTTGCAGTCCATAGGCCTCTTTAAAGAAATGCAAGAATTTGAAAAAAAACTAATTTTTCGTTGATTTTCTTATGACTACTCAAAAACTGCTGACATTAAAATAATTTTTACTCCAGATCTGAAAACTAGAAACTTGAAGCTTCAATCTTCTTTTTTTTATTCCCCCTACGACCATTTTCCTCCAAGTCACAGTCCAGTCTTTGAAAATCATTGAAAATTTTGGAATTTTTTTTAATATGTATTTCATTATTTGTAGTGACCAGTTTTCAATTTTATTTGAAACAAAGTGGTATATGTATAACTAAGTACCTACATCTGTTTTTCATGTAATTATACGAAGAAATGGTTCCGCTAAGAAATCTAAAAATCTCACAGCACAGGCAGACACAGAACCAAGAAGAATTAACTTCTTTTTAACATGTTAAAACGGTCAGAATTGTCTATCCACTATTTAAAACCTATTTATAAAAAAGAGAGTAATAACAAAATTTAAAGTCACAATTCTATATGCACTTTAAAACCTATTCATAAATAATATAAATAAGTGTATGTCCTTACTGATTTGTATTACACTGTTTTAAATTTCAATGAATAATAGGTACTTGCCAAAACTGTAGCAAGTTAACGTATGATTAATATATATGTATATGATTAATTTTTGACGATAAATCATTTCATTCATAATAAAAGTTGCTTATTAAGATAAAGATATTCAATTCTTATCCATGTTTAAATTTAGAAAACATTAGAATCCCCAAGAACTGTATACATGTTATACTATTTAATTTAAATATAATTCTGCGACATAAATAAAAAGAAGTGCAAGAACGATGAAAATTGTAGAAGGTAACCAAAATTTTGTAAAGTAACTAACATAGACGCTACCGAATAAGAGTTAAAAAGTCACCAAAAGTCTCCAGACTTATAAATTAATTTATTGGGTGAAAAAACTAATCTACTGTTCGGCAAATAGTAATTTAACTTGTTCATTTTTTATAATTATTTAAAACACTATATTTGAAATAAATATTTAACCGTCCCTGTCCACAAATAGGATCGTTCTTCCTCGTATTACTTCGTAATTAATGCTTGTTTTAAGCTAGCTGTAATTTGATAATTAGGTAAATATAATTTTTTAATGTTAATTCGTTGATGGCTCGATATTTAAATACTCGAAAATTAATGGCACGTTGAAATGTTTTACTCATAGATAAACTATATTATCAAAGTTGTACACACTTTAATTTGTATTCAAGTACAGCAACAGCTATTTTTATTGTGAAAGTAAGAGTATCAGATTTATCTGTTCGTTTTTACGTGGAATCGACAATGGTGTCGTTTTAAAAAGTATTCCGGAAATGCCATACATTAAAGAATTATGGAAATGTAAAATATAGTGGATTTACTGAGATATCAGCTTGTTTATATACAGTATGATGCAATTATGATTACGTGGCTTTTGAGCATAAAAGTAGCTTCATCTGAAGAAAAGTACCTTTTTTATGAAACTCCGATCTCTGTTAGATCGTTCCATAATGGTTTCACAGAATCCAATTCTTCTATCAAAGTTATCAAAGTCATCTTCTAACAGCTCTTGGACCAGATGTATTTCTAGGCTATTGATTATATCCAAAAAACAGAGTTAAAAGGAACTATGATATGCAAACAATTTTATTGCATGAATCGTTCAAAGAGTCATTTTATATGAAAAAATCGCGGAGTGCTATTAAATTAGAGGGTGGAAATTGGAGATAGGGGTGAAAATGCACCCTTTTCTGTTTTTTAATTGTAGCTCGAAAACGAAGCAAAATTTCGCTATAGTTCATAGGAAAAATTATTTTGAGAATTGAATTTCCTATCGAAATGGCTTATTTAAAAAGTTTAAAAGGAAAATTTTATGCAAAAAATCGTTAATAAACAATTTAAAAAAAGCAAAAATTAGTTTTTTTATCTTTTTAAATTTTTTGACTAACTTTTTTTAGTAGACGTAGGCGAAGAAAATGGCTTTAAAAAGAAACTAGTTTTTACAAAAAAGTAACGGTAAAAGTCGACCTTGTAGACTTGTAACGAAACAGAAATGAAATCCATTTCAAATTAAATCATTTTACAAATCTAAATGTTTTTAAATTCTAAACAATATTTGAGAATAATTAATAAGTAGCTTTTAAACTAAATCATTTATATTATATTATTATAAATGTCCTTATTTGAGATAGTAAAAAAATATATAGTATGATAAACTGTATTTTCATTTCAAAAATCTTTCATAGTTTCATACAGTTGTGAAAATCTTTATTTATTATTAACAAATAAAACTTTTGAAATAATTTTTTATGAAGTAAAGAACCAATTCGTTGTAAAAATAATAAAAATTATAATAATCATTATTATGTTAAAAACGTCGAAAAAAGTTTGACCGGTTATAATTCAGTTAATATTAGTCCAAAAACTTTTGAAAACGCATCATTTTGAAGGGAATCTCATCTAGGTTTTTTGTAAAGCAATTTTCTTTGCCTACTTCTACTAAAAAAAAAATAGAGTCGAAGAAGTATACAAAAAATCTGATTTTTTGCTTTTTTGGCTTAAGAAAGTTTTCTTTTTATGAACAGTCTATTTGGTACAGGGATGCAGAGGTGTAGATGTATAGAAGCGCAGTGGTGTGTGCGTGTCAAATATCTTCTCCCAGTTCGTAAATGTCCTGTATGCAATAAAGTAGATAATATACTCACGATAAGAAAAACAGTAATTACGATTTTTATGAATAACTACGAAAAAAAGGTGAGTTGATGCTTACCTAATATACCTAATTCAAGTTTACCAAATATGTTCTCTAAATATTTTTTTCAAATCTGCGATTTATAGCTTGATTTTTCAATTACTTGCATTAAAAAAGTCACATAAATGCCATAAAGATTAACTTAATTTACTAAAAATAAATCGGTGATAACTTTTTTCTGTTAACGTTAATCCCAATCGTAAACTATTCGCATGTATTTCACATCATCTCTTAATCTTATCTGGAAATTAATAATCTCCTTTATTTTTAATAAGTATCTTATTAAAGTCTAAAGTCTTCAGTTTCCAAATTAGGTATAGACTAGGCGGTATCTGTTTTGGTTTGGATGAATCGTAAATTCACGGAGATTTTTGGCTTTTTGGCTTTCGAATATCACTAGAAATGAATATTTTTGTATGCGCATAAACAAAAACGTGGGCTTAACTTTTGGCGGCACAATTTGTTAAAAAAAATCGAAAAATGTCATACTTTTCTTCTTATTTAATTATGTATCTTTTTAAGAGTTGATTTTAGGCGAAAATGGAACAGACAACTACAAAATATGACTAGTTACAAATCGAATGAATCATAATTATTATTGTAAAAATCGAAAAAATCGCCAACAGTGGGGTTAAAAAACATTACTTTTTAGGGAATTTTTTTGGGGTCTTTAAATTGGGTATATATGCCCTTCATACACAATCTATAGAACCGATTTCGATGAAATTTGGTGTGATGTGATGATTCTACATAACATGAAGTTTTCTTGAGCCAAGTATGAAGGTATTTATTTTGTATTATTAAAATTGTATGATCTGCTATCATGAATAATACTAATAACATCAAGTCGTCTGTATAACTTTGGTACACATAAATCGCCATATTGTTCCCTTTTAAATCCATAAAAATAACTATTTTATTATTTGAGATAGAAGAATTCACATTAATCCGCTATAAAATTATTGAATCAGCAAAGCAAATAGAGTGTAATTTATTACCAGAAAAATCGAAGAAGATATATCAGCAAACATATAAAAAATTTATTGATTACTAGGCTGTGAATAACATGTATCTCTCAGAAAATGTACTATTGGTATATTTTTCTGAAATAAGCAAAAGTATGAAATCTTCTTCATTAAAATTTTATTGATTGCTAGGCTGTGAATAACATGTATCTTTTTTTTTGGGAAAATGCCAAAAAAGTTGAGTTTCTCAAATTGAAAGATGCTCACGAATACAGCGGACATTGTTTCCGTAGAACAGTAATACATTCAGGAACTGATATCACAGCTTTAAAAATGCATGGTGGATGGAAATCTTCAACGGTAGCTGAAGTCTACATTGAGGAGTCCATAATTCGTAAATCTTGTAGGCTGTTCTAATTTCACTATGGCGAAAAAAGTGATTTTGCACTATAAACTAAGCAAATTAAATTTATACTCGAAAAAAGTCCTATCCGCGAGATTATTGTAAAATTGTCTAAAGGAGCATAATACAAGACATCTCTCATCTCGTGAGTCAAAAACTTTTCTATTTAAACAAATAAGTGAGGAAAACAGTTTTTTCACTTTGCAGGGAAAACCATCAATTTTAGCGAAAAGCGACTCACAGACAGCTTGTAGGGAGTAAAATTATCTACAAAATGAGACTTGCTAAATTAAAATCGGTTAATAAACAAAAAAGTTATTGCAAAAAACAAGAAAAGTGCCCATTTTTTAATTTGTTTATAACTATCACATTTATTGTTAAAATTTTATAAAACCTATGACAAGTTGAGGGTTTTGTCATACTTTAAAAGTGTGCCAAAAGTGGGCGCTGTAGGTGTAATAGTTTTCGCACAATTCAATTTGTTTATAACGGAGGCTCCAAAAGTTATGAACTTTAAGCCTCTGTACAGGCGTTAATTTTCAACCAAACAAGATTCTGAAAGCGTCATTGTAATCTTAGACGTAATTAAGTGACCTATTAAAAAATATCACCGTTTTTTTTGACATTAACGTTTTCCGCTTATAAACAATTTGAATAAAATTGTTGCTATTTATGCTACCTCACCGAAAATAGCTGACAAAAAAATACAACTTTAAAAAAAGCACCCTCTACGACCAACAAGAGCCAAGATAAGATTTTTTTTTAAATCGTAGCGCAATTGTTTATAAATATTAAGGCTTGAATTTTTCGCAAAATAAAATTTACGACGTAAACTACGATTTCCCGTAGAGAAGGTACTCGCTAAGTAAACTGTCTGGCGGCCGGCGGCGTGGTGGTGGAGGAAGCTCGTCCAAGTGAGTCGCGCGCGCGAGAAAAGTTAATTCCAAAGTTCAAATTGATGCGCGCTGTAAATTTTGCAATATCTCGGCTTCTATTCATCGTGGAAACTTTATTATTTTTTTAACTCGACGAAAAAATAACAATGGGCATATTTACGAATTCGTAGAATAGCCCTGAACCCCAGAAAAAATGCATCTTTTATACTGAAATTTTTTTAATTGTTAATTAAATTAATTTAATTAAATAATTAATTTAATTAAAAATGTTAATATTGTTAAATGAAATATTAATTAAAATTTCAATTTCGGAATTATTTTACTATTATTAAATAAATAAATGAAGCTATCGTTCATTTAAAAAGTTATTTTTTATACATATTAAGGCGAATAAAACTTGTTTCTTCAATATTTTGTTAGCTATTTAATTACGATTTATTTATATAATTTTACTCCCTACAAGCTGTCTGTGAGTCACTTTTCGCTAAAATTGATGGTTTTCCTTACAAAGTGAAAAAACTGTTTTCCTCACTTATTTGTTTAAATAGAAAAGTTAGCTAATAAAAGTTTTTGACTCACGAGGTGAGAGATGTCTTGTATTATGTTCCTTTAGACAATTTTACAATAATATCACGGATAGGATTTTTTTCGAGTTTCTCTTTTATTTTCGCTAATTTTCTTGGTGTACTAGTTAAATTACCGAAACCAACAAAGTTTTTCCAGGATAGGTACTTCCAAATTAATACAGAAAATTCCTATAAAATATATTTGACATTCTCATATCTATATCTATACAATACTTAAAAATAAATAATCGATATGATATGTAACTGATTGTTCAATATTTCATTCCTATTTTCATTTATCTTTGTTATAAAAGTTTAACGATACCTAAAGTTATAAAATAAAAAAGCAATGGTGCCTCTCTATGAGGTGAAAAAACATTTATCCTTTTTTAATAGTTAAAAATGCATAAATAAATTAAAAAATAATGTGATTGGTGGCCCCAAGAACGAATACCTACTATGACAATTGCACAATCAAAGAAACTATACCACAGTTTTCAAAAACACACCGTTCTAGATATAAATTAATGTTATTTTAGTACAAGTAGATCCCAGGATCTGCAACATCTTCTCGTTGTACCCGTTTATGGCCTGGATCTCTGGATAGCAAGAAATGACGGACGTAGAGCAAGATTATGCTGGCGCAGTAAAAAATGATGGGTACGAAGAGTATCCTGAAAATGAAAACGTATCGTTTCACAACTTCTGTAAAATTACGTCGGTATTTGAAGGCCTCTAACTAAGTATTTGTTTTCCGTTGTTGCGCAGCAAACAAAATTCGTATAAACTTACCAGTACGAATATCCCAATCCAGCGCTTTTATCCGAAGTCATCTGCCCCGACAAAGTGTAAAAGATACCGACGTCGTGGAATGTGATCTGGATGTGCATCACTCCCCACAGACACATCCCTATCACAGTGCATGTGAGGGCTATAGCGTTGGAGATATACAGGCCGAATATGCTGAAGTAAACCTGCACGGGATTGGAGACGATGTTCCAGATGGACAGGGCCGAAGAGGCCAGTCCGAAAGCGATGGAGACCGACAGGAAGAATATCGTGGACACCCACACTCCGGCGTTTATGAATTTTTTATCGTCTGAAATGAAAATTGAAAAATGTTAAGCGGTATCGCCGTCAATATCATGAAGCGGGCAAGGCAACAAAATCTATACGACAAGGCCTCAGGGCTGGTAATCTCTGTGACGTCAGCTGGAGTGGTTAGCGAGCACGCCACAACTGTAGACGAAATCTGGATTGCGCCATCACATAACCTTATTTAGCTTTTCGCGGTAATTTTAGTCAGCCAGCCTCTGTTTCAATTATTATACATTAAATTTATACTACTATGACAGGGTATTCTTTAATGATATGCGAATATTTATGGATGTGAATCTAAATGGAAAATTAATGATAGTTTGCTTTATAAAGTATAGTCGAAATGTAAGAACACCGGAAATTGAGGAAGCGGTGCTGCATGAAGTCGACGAACATCCTGAAACGAGTACGAGAAAGGTCGCTAGACATTTGAATATTTGCCAACAAATTGTTCGGAGAATTTTAGTGGATTTTTAATTATATCCATACCGCATTTTAAGAGTACAGGCATTACTTCCTAGAGATTTTCCAAAGCGTGTGACCTTTTGTCAGTGGCATCTTCATATTGTTGCGCAAAATCCGCAATTTGAATCACACATTATGTTATATACGAAACGAATTTTTCAAGAAGTCCCATTCAAAATTTTCACAACAATCTATTTAAAACAACAATTTTTGGTCAACGTATGAGCAGGCCCAACCAACTGTGGTATGTACATGCACGATTTCAGTGTAATGGTTCGCAATTATTTACAAACTGTTTATCCAAGTCGTTGGATTGGCCGCGGTGGGCCTCAAGAATGGCCACCAAGGTCCCCCGACCTCAATAGCTTACACTTTTTTTAAAAGGAGATCTTAACACGCCAGTGTACACGGGTCCCCTTAATACTGTAGAGGAATTAAGAGGAAGAATAATTGCAACATGTGACAGAATAGAAAATACTCCTGGCATATTTCAACGAGTGTACAGTTCCAGGAGGGCGGAAGCATGCATATTATGATGCGACGTACTCTAGAACCTGAAGTTGAAGTGTCATTGTAAAGAATCCTGTTGGCTATTTCACTTTTGTTAGTTAAACTGCCAGCAACATAACTTTCTGCAATTGTAGCTGATTTCCACCCACCATGTCTCTTGATTGCTAATACATCAATTCCTGTATTAGCCAGTAACGTTGCCGATGTTCTTCGGAATGAATGGCCTGTAAATGTTTCACGATATTCTAGTTTCGAAAACTGTACAATCTTATTACGAATCATAGAAAGGGTAATCTTGTCGACTGGTTCGTTGTAGCAACCCCCTGCTTGATAGTGCATAAAAAAGCGTGAAATTTCAATTTTAATTTCCAATCTAATCTTGATATATTTCTTGATAATTTCTAGGCGAGAAACAAAACCCAGACGATAAGTAATTGTAAACGTAAGTACGTGACATACCATTTTTAGAATCTGGAATTGTAACTACAATAATGTCATCGAAATTTTTGAAATTGACGTTGTCCAAAGTAAGTTTGCATAACTCATCAGAACGGCATGCTCCTGCAATGCCTAAGACCGTCACTACCTTAATTAGCAAATAGGTATGTATTATCGGGTGCCTGAACGAGAAAATCGTTGACTTGTTCTCTTGTAAAAATGTTTGACTTTTTAGGCGTATAACCGTCATTTTTACGTTTCAAAAATGCTGTTAGCTTGGGATATTTTGATATATCCACGTTATCTTCTATGAGAATAGTTGATATAATCATTGAGTATTCACTCCACAAACTCGTCGGTGACTTTAAAGTTCTTGACTTCTCCATGAAATATGCTAGCAGTGACATTTTAGAAACACTAATATTTTTGTTCTGGCACCATTCTTTGAAATTTCTATATGCTCGTCCGTAGCGTACTGTCGACTTCTCGGGCAATAAAAATTCGCAGGCAGCATTAGCTGCACGTTCTATTTGAAAATCTCTCATTTAGAAAAAAATAATTCAAAACCAGCAAAATTTCAACTTTTATGTAGATTTGTTTATAAACGCCTTAGAAACGACAAAATCCAAACAACCAAGGCGACTTTGCAAGATTGCGAATAATGTCAAAATGAATGGATTAAGAAATGTCAAAAAATAAAAAACTAATCTTTATTTCATGAACCATAAACAACTGTGCGAGCAGATAAAATATTATACACCACGCAACAGTTAAGTATAATTTTAAATAATACTTATCTAATTTATGGTGTAAATAACTATAATTTTTGCTATTAAATTATTAATTATTCTGTAAGTTTTTTTACTCAAAAACGGCGCATCGCTGGACAAAAACTCAAGAGAGCTCTTATCTTTCGAATTGAACAGGGATTTCAATTATAATTTTATTTGGGGGAAAAACCATTGGCGTACCATTGTTTTATTTAAAAATATCAAAGTCAGTGCTCGTACGCACGCCACTGTTAGAGCTAAAAATTATGTTTGTGTTGAAAAACATGCGCCTTTATTAACTATCACTACTTACTAAATATCACTAAAATATCTCCAGCGATTTCGGAAATATTATGTAGGTAATTATTTTCCTTCTTTTCCTAAAACTTTAACACCCGGTATTTTTGCAACGGAACATTTTTGGACCATAGTTTATAAAGCGAACTACCATTAATTTTCCATGTAGAATCACACCCTTAAATGTTCGCATATCATTAAGAAAAGCCCTGTATATAATATTTTTTGTTGTTTGTCAGCCTAAAAATCAATGCTTAACAATGTGTCAAAAAAAGAACAAAATTAGTCCTTCCTAAATCGAGTACAATTAATGTATAAAAGTAAGTTTTACTGCTCAAAAAGTCAAATTGAAAAAGGATGTGTGTCATAATAGACCAGGCGGTATCTGTTTTGGTTTGGGTGAATCGTATATCCACGGAGATTTTTGGCTTTTCTATGCGCATAAAAAAAACGTTGCTTAACTTTTGACGGCACAATATGTTAAAAAAATTGGAAAAATGTCATATTTTTCTTCCTATTTAATTATGTATCTTTTTAAGAGTTGATTTTAGGTGAAAATGGAAGAGGAAAAAAATGTTTGTAATTAAATTTTTTACAATACATGACTGATTACAAATCGAATGAATCATGATTATTATGGGAAAAATCGAAAAAATCACAAAAATGGGGTTAAAAAACAATACTTTTTAGGGAATTTTTTTGGTGTATTTAAATTGGGTGTAGGACCTTTATACTTGGCTCAAGAAAACTTCATGTTATGTAGAATCATCACACCAAATTTCATCAAAATCGGTTCGATAGATTTTGCATAATAATTTTGCAATCCATATTAAAAAAAAAATT